AGCACTTGATCAATTGCTACTAACTTGGTTCTTTTCCAAATTGGACCTAAAGATAAGATACCACCACATTCGGTGGAGGAGGGCATATAAAAGTTAGCTTTCAAAACTCATCAAAGTTCGTTCAAGTCATTGGTGATATCATTCAATCTATTCAATGCATTGACCACCTTAACGAGGTTAATGAATGCAGTAATCCAACTCTTATTGGATTCCTTTGTTGTTATATATATAGATGACATCTTACTTTATATATTTGCACGTGGGAAGCACACTTGCATTACCTAGAGGAAGTCCTTTCCACTTTGAAAGTCTATCAAGTCATACTCAATTTGGAAAAGTGAGTTTGGGATCCTTAGACTTAGTTATCTGGGCTTTATAGTTGGAGGAAGTGAGCTAAGAATTGATTTAACTAAGGTTAATGCCATAAATGAGTCTCCCCAAGCACTGCATTTGAGGTGAGGAGCTTCATGGGTGATTACCAATATATTAGAAAAAATCATTAATCCCTTTTTATTTTTTTCTGCCCCACTTTTTGCACTATTAGCATGTGAAACTTTTCAATTGTTAAAAAAGAGAATCACTGAAGAACTTATATATACACTTGCAAACTAATGAAGGCTATTTATGTTTGAGACATATGCTTCAAATTATGCAATTGAAGCTATTTCTATCCAAGGTGGAAAACCTATGACATAGCTTTCTAAGATGTTGTTTGGAGTTTTCAAGAACTACCCACTATATGAAAATGAGCAATTTGCATTGTACAAAAGTAATGAACCATTGGAGACACTGGGTGTGTTCCCTAAGGACAATTTGGGCGGCTCAACTTAAGAAGCGCAATGGATTAATCATCTGGCTTGAAGCCCACCCTTAAAGGGTTAGTGGCGGATTAGCAAGTTTGCCCCATCGATCATATGGATTCGTGCTTCCAGGTTCATGCCTAACTGCAAATGCTCAAAGGTTGTTGCTAGGTTTTAAATGCTCAAAGGTTGGTGCCCAAAGTTGGATGCCCAAAGGATTGCACTCAATGCAGGCTGCTCAAATGCTATCATCCAGAGATGGATGCACAATTTTTGGCACCCAAGATGTTACATTCTAATATAGCTTTCTATAAGAATGAAAACAAACAAAAATATAGATTTTACTCGTTAAAAGATTTCATCATTTTTTTTCAAGATGAACTTCAAATATTTAGTAAAGACCTTTAGTGATTTGTTCCTACATGCATGGACGGTTATAAGGAAATAATTTGAGTTAAGAAATCTTTTTACAACTCATCCATAGTTAGTAAATTGCTAGACATGACCGTTGTCCAATTGGCGACCTCACTTTGCTTGCCCTCCTTGTGTTGACTTGGCACTTTGAAGACTTAACAATGTCAAGATATACTTAGTGAAAAAGTTATAAAACGTAAACAATAAACTTTTAAGGAAAAGGATTCAACATGGTATAAGGAGTATGCAAGGGAATCATTTAATAAATGCATTGTTATGCCTTTCAAACCATGATGTATATCTTTAAGTAGCATGAGTATCATGTTCATTCAACCAACTAGGGACCTGGTTGATCACCGTAGTCAAGCTGCCTAATACATGGCCCAATCAACCAATTAAAATCTGATTGGTCTCACTTTGTCAATTATTAAAGTCTTGTTATCCAATTTTTTTGGTAACCCCTCTTTGTTTCACCTGCCTAGTCTTAAAGTGCTAGTCAGATGAAACATTCTTAGGGAACAAAACATTCATATATTAGTTTGGAATGAAAAATTCAACTAAAATTTATTGGGCCTTACAACACTACTTGGAATGGATGCATTCCTATGCACTAATCATCAACCGCTCCAATACCTTCAAGCTTAATTAAATTTTCAAGAAACTAGACACATGAAGTAGTTGTCAAACATGCAACAATTTAACTTGGCAATCAATTAAAAAAAATGCGCCCTAAACAAGATTGGTGACATGTTGCTTACGACACCCTTATTCAAAAATACTTTTTCTTGTTTCTATGCAGATATTGCCTTCGCATCATGAAGAGTACAAAGAGATGTGCTCAATTAATCTTGATTCTCATAAGAAGGTAGGGCGATTATCTTCACCACCAATGATAGCTCACTTTATGATAGCAATAATTGTGCATTCCAAAAGAAGTTGGTCGAATAATTTGAATTATAGAGGCGCATACTTTAGTGTGATAGGACACTTTGGAGTTTAGAAGACACTTGGTGTTGAGAAGGCACTATAGAACCCAATTAGATATACATTTGCTTAAAATGTACCTAGAGGTGAAACAATTTTTTGAAAAATTGTGTCCTTTTGCAACATTTCTAAACAATCTAGCAAGAAGTGGGCTTTTGCATTCCACCAACAGGATCAATAAAGCTTGGGTAAGGCATCTCCATAGACTTCATTGTAGGGTTTCTAGAGATCAAAAGACGATTTGATTACTTATTTATTGTTGTAGTTAGGTTCAATAAAATGGTTTTCTCTTCTTTTGTAGGAAGACCATCATTAGTGAATAAACCACCAAAATATTCTTTAATCATGTTTGGAAACATGTTAGCCTGCCTACATTAATCATCTTTGACAAAGTCAGTTGGTTCTTAGTCAATTCCAGAGAATAGTATTTTGCATGATGAATGCCAAACTTGCAGGCAAATGGACAGATGGAGATGGTAAATTGGACACTGATGCGAGGAGAAAATTTCAAGCATTCTAGAACTTGGGATGAGATCCTTTCCTTCAACAGTGCTTGAATATACATCAACGATCCTATTTGATATTTATCTTGGCTTAGAGTTCATTTGACTTTGAGTGTTCTATTAATTTAGTAAAGGGAGTACTGCTGATTCTGAAGAACAAGAATTGAAGAAAGCCCAAAAATTTCGGACAATCATCAAAATAATCCATCAAGAGGAATAAGAGTTTGCAAATGATATGTCTATATGAAAAAGTTGGCAATCCATGGGCCTTTTAAATGATTGGAAATATCTTGTAGATTTTTCAAGAAAATAAATATGTAAGTCATATAATATCTTCCTTAATTCCAGCGTATTTAGTAGTTTTTAGATGTTGAAGTTGCGAAGAGTAACTTGAAATCTTACCATATAAATATAGGGAAAGCCCCATCGAAATACACACAATATTAAATTATTTCTCATCTTCATAGTATCAAAGCTTTAGGAACAATAGAATCCTTAACATATTTATATTATTATTTTATTTAAAACGACCCAAAAGTTTCACTTACTGTTCCTTTCTTTTGCTCCCCTCTCCACCAGAAGCACCTGTTGCTCCATCGCCGCCTCCTGCTGCTCCATTATAAGCACCTACTAATCCATTGCAAACAATCATCAACTTCCAAGAGAGAGATTTTCTGTGTAAAAAATATATTCTTCTATGTTAGAAGCTATTGACACATCAAATGGTCTTAATCAAATCTTAGTAAGTGAGCTTCAAAGCCTTGAATTTCATTTATATTGAATGAAAAAAATAATTTTATTTGCTCCCAGATTGTGAAAGCTTTTCTCTAGGATAAGGGAAGGTGAGCCACTTTATTGGTCCCGTATTGAGTGAAGATGATTCCGGTTTTGCTATATGAAATGTAGAAGATTTAATATTTCTCAATTAAATCTTGGCTATGGAATTCAATGATACTAGTCGCCATTATAATCTACATGTTCCTATGTAGGTTCCGAAAATTCGCGCCCCAGCCATTCCATGCCTTTTTTGTGACGGACAGAGTTTTAATGAATTTAAGTTTCAGGGTAAATTTTCAGAAGACAGATTGTGTCTTAGTTAAGATACTACCCAGAAATTTTGCCCTCATTTTGCGTGGACTTTATAATCTAAATTTTATTTTCCTTTACGCGCAAGCCTTTATGGTTAATTATCCCTCCCAATAATAAGAGAGAACTATCGATTAAGGCTAGTCTTTAAATATATCGCAATAATTGCCTATTGTATAATAGTAGCAATTTTAGGATTTGATATTGGTTTTGAATTTTGGAGTTTAATATTTGAAATTTATCACCATATACATAAAAGCGGGTGATAGGGGAATGGTGATGAGCTCTATCAAGATCTCATGGTTCCGTCATCTCGGGCTGTCATTGTCCATAGTCTACTTAGTGAGAGGAGGTAGTCGACCCAACCCGAAAGAAGGAATTTTTTCGGCAGCCATGAGTTGCTTCGTTCAAGAATACCTCTTAAACTTAGGGTGGATGTTTCCCTAAGATGGTGAATTTAAGTCAACCTTAGCTAATGAAGGGCTTTATATCTTATTATAACTTGCACCCTATAATTCATTACTCAAGGGGCTTTTAACTATTAGGTAACATACAGGCTTTCACCGTGATCATAATATAGTGGTTCTATTTTGTAAAAAAAAACACCCGATCAAAGGGCACATATCACGTCCCTACTAGTGATGAATCAACTGAGAATGAATTTTAGTAATATATTCTATAAGACATATGCACTTTTTGAGCTGAAGTTATTTTTCAATTCATCATCCTTGCCAAGAACAATTATTACGTCCTCTGACCGGACGTAGAGGAACGTCCGGTCGGAGGCAAATTCCCGCCAAAAAACGAGTCGTACCGAGCAAATACCGAGCAATACCAAACAATAACGAAGAATACCATCATTTGAAGACCCAATACCGAGTTATACCGGGCTTTACCGAGCAAATACCGAGTTATACCAAAGTTGTACCGAGTTTTTCCCAGAAAAACTCGGTACAACTCGGTATTTCTCGGTACAGCTCGGTATAACTCGGTATTGGTCTTCATAGAACGGTATTCTTCATTATTATCAAATAATATCTAGTTGTACCGAGCAAATACCTAGTTTTTGGACGGGAAATTGCCTCCGACCGGACGTTCCTCTACGTCCTTGCACCGAACGTAATAAAAGTTCTCCTTGCCAAACCGTTGGGAAGTGTGGATATATGAATTTTAGTTTTTAAGTATTTTGTGATTAAATTTTCATTTAAATGTTTAGAATTTGGTAGATATTAAATATTAAAATTTTTATAGGCTTTGAGAATTTACCCCATTGGTTGAGATTCACTTTTAACACAGCCAATCTCGGGGTGATATTGCAATGACTTTAGAAGATTTGTACTTTTCTTTAGGGTTTGAGTTTTTTGAAAATATGGTCCCCCTCTGGTTGAGAATTTTTGTCAACATGGCCATCATCAGAGTGTCGTTAAAGTTATTTCAAATATTTGTATTTATTAGAATTTTGGTGGCATTTAAAAGGGTGATCCCTTCTGATTGAGATTAACTTTTAACACGATCATCATTGGAGAGTTTGAGCACTTTTAATAAATTTGCGAAGTATTCTCAGATCTCACATTTAGGAGCTTGATTTAACGATCATAACACGTGGAGCATTTCATTTCAAGAATTTAAACTATTGGTAGAATTTGAATTTAGGTTTTGAATGAATGATTTTAGACTTTTGAGAGAATTTTGAAAATTAAATAGCTCTCTTCTACAAGAAGTTGCATTCTTTCTGGATGTATGTTTATCATACAAGATTTTATGTATAATGTCATCCATGGCAATTCCATCCTTCCTCTTTTGCTTCGTCCAATTACATTTCTGAACTTCCTCGTGATTTCTTTTGACTACACGAGACTATAAATCGTGCATCTCAACATCGGTCAGGACTTCCTGGGAACGACAGCATCGACTCGGTCTTCATTCTTGCGTGTGACGTCTAGAGTCAATCTACATAAGCGAGAGAAGTCGCATGCGTCTGGACAATGACTAGGACCTTCTCTTGGGAATGTCGGCATCGAGATCAATCTTCATTCCTGCATTCGATCGAGAGAGGAGCGGCGTTCCTTTTGGTCATCTGCTTCGTGCGTCTCTTCCTGTAAAGTTGAGCGGAGAGGAGCGAGTAGGAACCCACATGCGTGCGAAGGAGGCTGAGCCTTTGTGCGTGCGTTCTTACCTACCCTGAAGTAGAATTGAGTGTCGGGAGGAGTTGTGCAGGAGTTTTTTTTGCATGGATGACTGGGAAGAGCAGAATGCTTAGATCAATGGTCTTGTGCGTGCTTGCAAAGATTTGAGCATTTATTGCCATACCTACAACCTCTCTCGTGCATATCTATGCAAATTTTGTCTGATGATTTATTGCTGAACGATGGGGTCAAAGATATTGGGAATAAGCTGACATCTCCTTCATCCAATTTACAATAGCTTCTTCTACTTCTCGATAAAGATGAAAATTTATTGTCAAGAATGGAGCATTCTCCATATACTCAATATTGTCTGTTGTTCAGCCTGCTATGAAGGCATTGATTTCCAAAGCTATTCTGGGGCACTCAGAAATAGATGTGAAGGTTTCCATTACATATTGTCTTAGTGAAATAATAAGAATAACATCATTAGATGCTCCATATGATGATGATATAATGAAGGAGACATTTGGGCTAATTATTGGAGCTTTCAAGAATTTGGATGAGATGTCATGTCGTTCATTTCCGAAGAGAGTTTCAATACTTGAAACTGTTGCAAAGGTTTGATTATGTGTTTTGATGTTATATCTTGATTGTGATGATTTGATATTTTCCTGAAGACAATAAGGTCAAAACATTCTGATGTTGTCTTCTCCTCAATGGAGTCTATCATGACACTTTTTTAAGAGGAGATTGAAAGTATTTCTTCACAACTTTCTTTCATGTCTGTTGAATGGTATGAAAGTTGTTGGAAAAAAAATTCTGAACATAGCCAAGATGCTAGCAGAGAAAGAGCTTGTTAACTGTTCCTTGAAGCTAAAGCCTTATTTGGCTAATTTTTTAATGGCAATGGTGCTCTGTTAAGTGGTTACAGTAAAATTGTTGCTACTGTATTTCAAGGAAAACCTGACACTTCGATGTAGAATGAAATGAATGCTTTTGATGAAAATTCGGAAGTTAATGTGGGCTCCAAAAATTCGGCCCCGGCCTCCCCGCCTTCTTTTTTTATTAATTCGGCGAGGGAGTTTTAACTGAATAAGTTCCGAGGTAAATTTTGGAAGGCAGATGGGTTTGTAGATAAGACACTACCCAGAGATTTCGCCCTCATT